TGCTTCTTGGAAGCTTAGGGGATGACAGCGATAGCCGTTCCCAGTTATTTGTCCCCAGGGCCTGGCACTCAAAGGTCCACTGCCTCTGAATATGGAAGTTCCATTTTTAAAGCATTTTTTTTTTTAAAAAAACACCCTAAGAACAGAACAGTCAAATCAAAGCAAATGTCAAACATGCTGTCTACACTTCCCTTACACCCTGCCTTTCCCCCCAACGGGGACTCAAAGCAAGTTACACGGTTCTCCTCTCCTCCACGTGATCCTCACAACAGCCCTGCAATGTAGGTTAAGGCTGAGAGACTGTGACTGGCCCAAGGTCACCCAACAAGCTTCTACAGCAGAATAGGGATTCGAACATGGAGTCTCCCGGATACCTAGTCCGACATGCTAACCACGACATCACACTGGTTCAAGTATACCAACTGCACAACTGTTTTAATTGAGAGATCTAATAATCAAATTGCCCCCTTTTCACCACCTGTTAAACCTCTTGGCTATCCAGCAATCCATTAAGGTTCAACCTGAATTAAAGGTAAAGGTAAAGGTTCCGCAGGTCCACCAGCGGGGCCAGAACTCCAGAAGCCCTCCCACTGTGGCCCCCCAAGCACCAAGAATACAGAGAACAGAAGAGAAACCATGCTGGATCAGGCCAATGGCCCATCCAGTCCAACACTCTGTGTCACATAGTGGCCAAAACCCAGGGGCCATCAGGAGATCCACCAGCGGGGCCAGAACTCCAGAAGCCCTCCCACTGTGGCCCCCAATCACCAAGAAGACAGAGCATCACTGCCCCAGACATAAGAACAGAAGAGAAGCCATGTTGGATCAGGCCAGTGGCCCATCCAGTCCAACACTCTGTGTCACGCAGTGGCCAAAACCCAGGTGCCATCAGGAGGTCCACCAGCGGGGCCAGAACTCCAGAAGCCCTCCCACTGTTGCCCACCAAGAATACAGAGCATCGTTGATCCAGACAGAGTGTTCCATCTCTACTCTGTGGCCAACTGAATGGCCTCTGCTCCATATGTTTCTCCAGTCACCTCTTGAAGCTGTCTACGCTTGTAGCCGCCACCACTTCCTACAGCAGTGAGTTCGACGTGTGAGTTACTCTTTTGGCGAAGAAGGACTTCCTTCAATCTCGCCTCTTTCTTCTTTTTTTGTATTTGTATATGTGTGTGTGCATGTGTGTGGGAGTCTGTGTGCGCGCTTCTAGAAGTCACGGCCGCCTCTGGTGACTGACCCCTACGGGGGGCCTGGGGGCTATTCAGAGAGGTGGCTGAATAAAGCCTGCCCCCGCCTCCCGCCTCTGGTATTCTTTGGAGGTCTCCCATCCAAAGACTTGCCAGAGTCGGCCCTGCTTAGCTTCCGAGATCTGACGAAATCGGACTACTGCTCATTAATTTCATTGAGTGCCCACGAGTTCTTGTATGGTGAGAAAGGGAGAAACGTACTCCTCCATCCCATGCGTAATTTTGTAAACCTCATGGTCTTTAGCCCCGTGCCGACAAAGCTATCCGCCAAGAAGACAGCAAGACTTCTCTATATCATTACTGGCAGACAAGCCTTCTTCCCTCTTCTCCTGGTCAATTATCTCTTTTTAATAGTGTGGAGGAGCGAGAGAAAGGAGAACGGGTTTCCGGCAATTACTAAGCAGCGATCTGCCCAAATTTGTCCAGATAGCCCAAACTCTGCAGTATTTGTAGTCTTGGCTCATATTTCAAAACTGCACCCTTAGCGCAAAAGATTTTAAGGGGAAGAAAGCAGAGAAATTGGGGAAAGGAGTTTTTTGGCTGCGTTCCTGGAAGTCTGTGACAGCCGGAGCCTCTGGCGCAAGGCACACAAGGCGCAGAGAACGCGTAAGAGTTAAATGGAGATTATATACACAACATAAACACACACACACAAAACTCCAAACAGAAGGTGGGGCGGGGAGTTGCAGAGTCAAGTGGTTTTTGGAGCATTAATTTACTCCAGTTTGGTGTAGTGGTTAAGTGTGCAGACTCTAATCTGGGAGAACCGGGTTTGATTCCCCACTCCTCCTCCACTTGCACCTGGCTGGATGACCTTGGGCAAGCCGTAGTTCTGATAAAAGCTGTCCTTGAAAAAGAGCAGTTTCTGTCAAGAGCTCTCTCAGCCCCACCTACCTCACAGGAGGGTGTCTGTAGTGGGGAGGGGAAGGGAAGGGAGTTTGTAAGCCGTTCTGAGACACCTTTGGGTAGTGAAGGGCGGGGTATAAATCCAATCTCTTCTTCTTCACCAGTTTGGTGTAGTGGTTAAGTGCACGGACTCTAATCTGGGAGAACCGGTTTGATTCCCCACTCCTCCACATACACCTGGCTGGATGACCTTGGGCAAGCCATAGTTCTGATAAGAGCTGTCCTTGAAAAAGAGCAGTTTCTGTCAAGAGCTCTCTCAGCCCCACCTACCACCCAGGGTGTCTGTTGTGGGGAGGGGAAGGGAAAGGAGCTTGTAAGCCGCTCTGAGACACGTTTGGGTAGTGAAGGGCGGGGTATAAATCCAATCTCTTCTTCTTCTTCTTCGATTAGCCTCTCTGAAGCTGGAGGGGAAAGAGAAAGACCGGCCAAAAACAGATCCCTCGGGGACGCAGTGAGGTTTGTTGTTAATCCATTCACAGCGACGGGTGTATACAACACAGCTTCAGACCAAAAGCCATACGGGAGGAGAGCCAAGCCCCCCCCCCCAAATGCCGACACAAAAGCGGTCCCTGGGTGCTCTATTTATACCCGTGTTGCTTAAACGGGGACAGCTGCCTCTCTGGAACTAAATTTGGTAACTCTTTGCTATAACCGAGGGCAGATTCCCACACTGGGTCTTCGTACACAACCACGCCCTCCCTGGAAAGCAACGACTGCATGGGTTATGTCAGGGAGAAAACAGCCCCTTTGTCCCCACGTGCCAAGTTGCAAACCGCAAAGGAAGACGGGCATTCCGGCTCGAAATCTGCACCGAGAAAAAGCTGAACTCTGCGAACCGTCGACATTGGCCGATCCTGCATTGGCTTCTCCCTCCGTTGTTTTAGCAAACCCAGGTTGGAACAGAAATTCCCCTCTGCATTGCGTGCCGCTTTCCCTTCCTTTGACCATCGGGTTTTGTGGTACCCTCTGCATTGCGTGCCGCTTTTGCCTCCTTTGATCATCGGGTTTTATGGTACCCTCTGCACTGCACGCCGCTTTCGCTTTCTTTGTTCACCGGGTTTTATGGTACCTCCGGCATAGATTTAAGGCATGGGAAAGAGCAGGTAGAGAAAGAGGTACTTTTCTCCCTTTCTCACAATACAAGAACTCCTTGTGGGCACTCCATGAAATTGCTGAGCAGTTAGAACGGATAAAAGGAAGTACTTCTTCACCCAAAGAGTGATTAACTAAAGCCAATCTCTTCGCTTCTAGATAGGAACTCTCGGTCTGGGGCAAGTGATGCTCTGTCTTCTTGGTGTTTGGGGGGGGGGTCAACAGTGGGAGGGCTTCTAGTGTCCTGGCCCCACTGCTGGACCTCCTGATGGCACCTGGTATTTCTGGCCACTGTGTGACACAGAGTGTTGGACTGGATGGGCCTTTGGCCTGAACCAACATTGGCATGTTCTTATGTAAGGCAGTCCAGGGGTGACTTCGCAGTCAGTCTGGCGTTGCCCCGGCGTATCTGAATGTGGCTTTGAGCCGCACCTTTTCCTCAGTGTTCAGAAAATGTGGAGCAAATGCCCGATGCAGAACCAGCCATCGTGCACGTTAAGAAAACCTGTCTTAATTTATTCTTCGTCCGGCAGAGTCGGCGGCAACGAGTTATGCAGGGCACGGAAGGTCTGCCGGCTGGAAACTCTGCTAAGTGCTCCCCCTTCCCGGCCACCAAAATTTCAACAGGCATTGAGGACTGGACATGTGTGGTGACAGGCTGCACGTGTATTCCTCTATAACCCACCTTTCTCCCCAAAAGTGGCTCACATTGTTATCCTCTCCAACCGGGTAGGTTAGGCCAAGAGCACGTGATTGGCCCAAGGTCACCCAGCAGTCAAGTCACCAGCTCCGGGGTGGGAAATACCTGGAGATTTGGGGGGTGGATTTGGGGAGGGTGGGGTTTGGGGGAGGGGAAAGACTTCAGTGGGGTTTAACAGAGTCCACCTTCCAAAGCGGTCGTTTTCTCCAGGGCAACTGATCGTTGTCAACCAGAGACCAGTTGTCATCCCAGGAGATCTCCAGCCACGGCCTGGAGGCTGGCAACCCTGCTCAGGGAGCTTCCACGGCAGGCTGGGGATTCGAACCTGGGTCTACCGGATCCTCAAACGACACACTTAACCACCAACCCGGACTCTCAGGCTGCTGTATTCTGCAGCCCAGTACCCAAGTTCTATGACTTCCCTGTTCTCGTTCGGAACTGCAGAATACACATGTCAGATTTCAAGATTCCCCTTTTAAGGAAAGGGCCATTCCCTGATCAAGACTGTGTTTGGTCCGTAACAATGCCTTAGTTTGGGTGATCCCGGGTAGCAAAAGACGCATACACCTGACACGTAGTCGACTTACTGTTGGCTCTGCTTCCCGGCGAGTTCATTCGTTTTCTCCTGGAGTCGGGGAATAGAGAAACAGGAAAGCAGGA